TACAATCAAATAAGCGATAATAATGTTCGCAAAAGCAACGTTGACAATAATTTCATTCTATTGCATACACTGCTAGTGCTGTAGCTAAAATAGCATGGAAAGGCAATCACCATATCCACACTATCAAAATCACCATTGATTACATTTATTACTTTGCTATCAGAAGTGAAAATGGTATGAGGCCTAAAATAGGTGTCATTTACACGAATTATGTGATATCGGATAAGATTGATGGTATGGATGTGATTTGTGATAGTGAATATGAGAAGTTGAAAATTTCCTGCAAGGTGCATACGCGAGAAATGAACGAACGAACCGCTTTGAAGGCATTCAAAAGGAATCGTGTACTGTCCAATGAAGTCGTCATCAATGAAATCATCGTCCAATACCAAAAACCTAATCAACGCCAACTCTGGCACACTTATTTGGAATTGAAATGATTCATCGAATGCTGGATTTACACCTGCAATCCAAACTTTGCCTTTCACATTGCTCAATTTCTTACAATTAGAATTGTTTTTCACTAAAGACCAGCAATCTTTTTCAGAACTAATTCGCTTTGAACTAATGAGCACACGTATGATCATGTAAACAGCTGATCGTCTTGTGATCAATTCACTGATTGGATTATGAGTAAGTTCGTTGTTGTTGGTTTCTAATAATTCACTTATTCGTCGCAGAATGTTTGAAATTATACTGTAGTGTTCATCGAATGATCATGAAACACATAATTCAACATGAATTATCAAACAAATTAAATCATATGCATCCATCCGTCTGTCTCATCAGCTGTTCGTTTGAAAGTGCAATAAATTTATCATGAGGAAAACGAATAGCACAATAGAAAATTGAATTTTCACGAAAATAGCTTTATTCATTTGAGTGGCTCAGATGTTGGCATTATTATCTAATTATCTATAGATCGAATGTAAGAATTGCTCGGTGTTTTTTTTGCATTCATCCGATGGCTTTTCTAGATGACATAATCACGAGACACGATCATTCATCATTGCAATGATTGATGTATTACATGCTCGCTTATGTCACATTTTAGTGACGTGCATTCAGGATGTTTCTGCTATAGAATCCTGTTTGATTTCATGTCGATCAAGCGACCGATTACAACTAAAGTCGCTTTTTTGAACTTCCATCAAATGCTTGTCATGTAACTTTTGCTACGATTAAATCGTGACATGCGAACGCGCATTCGTCACATGATTGACATGTTATCCACATAATGCCNTGCCATCGACATGCAATCGCATTCTTATGATCGTTTTTGTTGAGAATGTTTCAAAGTGTTTGCTAAAATTTAGAATTTTTAGATTTCGTTTTGAATTTGGATTTTAGATTTTTCGTTGAATTTGCTTGGAAATCATTTGTAAAGTTACAGTCGGCTGTTATTGAGCAAAGTGTTGCCAAAATCGTCGCAGCGAATGGATTTCGACATAACTCACTGTCATTTCGTATAGTTTTGGTGCGTTCTTCAGCGCAATCTGCAGGTACACCAAACACCTCGACGACAACGAACGGATCTGCGGAATCTCCTTTTGCGGTCGAACCGCGTGGTCGTGGAAGTTGTTGCCCGGAAAGAACCCGTAAATGAAGAATCTGAAATCAAAACCTATTTGCTCCACGTTGAAGTGCCGTCGATTCAAAAACTATACATGTTCTATATTCGTTAGGCGGAATTCCTGAAATGCGGAGCTGAATCCGTATCCATAGTTTCCTGAAATGCAAGGCCGGAACTCGAGTTTTAGCCGAAAATTATAAAATTTAGAACCACGGCTGGAATCGGGACCAAAATTTCAAAAGTACAGAGCTGAAATCGATGCTGAAACTCCAAAATTTGAGCTCGACCTAAAACCGGAGCCAGAGGCGAAATTTCAGAAATTCGAAGCTGGGGCCGAATTTCAAAAATATGGAACTAGATCCGGAGCTGTGTCAATTTAATTCGAATCTGGGCATCACTGCCTATAACTCAATATTCGTCGGTTCTCTTAATGTGAACGAATGTGAACTAACTTGTGGCGCAAAAGGCAACTTATCGCCAGGCGTAAAGAGATCATCTCGCATCATCGACGGCTTCAACAAATAACCGCATCCACCGTTTTCGGAAAATTTGCCCTCCTGAAAGTTCTTTTGAGGGAGATTTGGTAATCTTGAATTCCGTGAAACCTTCGAAAAAGATGTCATTTTTAGATTCATACATCTGTCGGACAAGTGGCTATAATGCAGTGAAATTAGCATAAAGCAGACGATAAAATGATCGATCAAAATGGGAAGCCAGTGCAATCATATTTCCAAAAAAGAATGCTGATAACAAGCAGCGATGTACATTACCTGCAAATCCATCATAAGGCCAGGAGTTTGGTAGTTCAATGTAACTAACTGAACTCCATAGTTCCAAAATTCCTGAGGATTAAGGTTCGACGAATCAACTCTGAAATTGTTCAACTAGTAATGATGAAACAACACTTATCTACCCTCAAAGACACCCATAAAAATCAACAGCCATCCATATTCTGGAACTAACATAATTTGAAGGTTTCCAAAGCAGATGAATCATATTTGTTGAAAGGACAAAATTAAAGAAAATGAACGCATGGTTTGGCTGAGTGTGAGTGTAAAACGATACCTCATAGAGCTTGGAGTGACTCTCGTGAGAAAATCTTTCGAAACCTGCGTAAATTCACTTGCATACGTGTGGATCATTCGAAGACAATCAGTTTCGGATATGGTCAGAAGGGTCCGACGATTCGACACTATAAAACGATCAGAAGGTATTTCTACTCAAACAGATACCTGCTTACAACATCACTGTGTGCATACATCTTGAAGCAAACTTTTCCTGGTTTTGGACAATAGATTAGGATCATTAGATCAAATAACCACATCGTCAGTGATCGTTTTCGAGACAAATGAAGTGGCAATTTTAAAAGATTTTATTTCTTTGATAAGTTGTGGACGGACGATAAATTTTGACATAAGCGCACAAATGAGAAAATTTCTCACAGTGTCCACACGATGCAAGTGATAAATCGTTGAGATTCGTTGACACAGCCCAAGGACACATCAAATCGGAAAGCTTCTTGCAAAGGATCATCTTACGAGCGGAACCTCGCGGGGTTTTACCTTCATGTTGAGGTATACTCTCGTCATCTTCGCTCACCTCACCGTTATCTTCATTCAATTCATTCAATCGTTTACCCTTGAATTAATAACGATCACTCTCGTAAATGAATAAAGCCGAAGAATTTGCACGAAATTTGCATGAAAATTATTTTATTCAGTTGGTTAAAGAATCTATCTGACTGTGCAATTTCAAAATATTTTCAAGAATTTGTCATAAGTTTTGAATGAGCTCACCACTAAAATGATCTTCATTTGAAAATCTTTCGGTGTCGGTCTTTCATCACCACCAACCCAATCACTGAGATCGTCATTTGGCCGATAAAGCTTATTCGCAAGAATCGCGTTGAGCAAATCAACAAGAATCAATTGCCATTTAATACTCAAATGTATTTCGAGACGTATCAGTAACGGATACCTGCAAATGCTCAATGGTAATCTCTTCAATTTTTTGAATCAACTCTTTAAATCCGATTAAATATTCTGCATTGATAATCTAAAACAGTGGTTCTCATACAGGGCGGAATTACCCATTTTAGGTAATTTGGAGGTGTCGAGGGGGGTAACAGAGGGGTAGGAAATTAGTATTTTACGATAGAACGCCGTTGTGATGGTGTTTTTATCTGGATTATGTAAACGCGGTTAGTTGATGGCAAGTTCGTTCACCTATTTTCTGAGTATCACTAGCTCATCCGGGCCTGACAGGGTTTTCATATGTTTTAACAGGTTTTTCATTCTTTTCCTTGCTGTTACAATCGCTCTCATAGCTTTTATCATCAAAAATGTTCTCTTCTGCTAATTTCTCATTTATTTCACTGAATGGTTATAGTCAAACTCTCATTCTATCAAGTATACTCTATAATTGATCATTTGACTGTTGAACATTGTTGAGCCATAATATTCAATTCGTGTACTGTTGATTTCGGCCGTCAGCACTCGTCAACGTATCAAGTAAATAGTAAAGGCTACAGAATGAGAAGTTTATTCGAATTGTGAAGTGAAATGAAACGAAGTGAATGAGAAAAACTCATCAAGAGAACTGATTCGAGCTGTGAAGTGAAATGAAACGAAGTGAATGAGAAAAACTCATCAAGAGAACGGTATTCGCATATGATAGCTATGAGAGTGAATACAATACGTCTGAAAAGAATGAGAGTCCATCGAAAACTGTTTGAAGTGAGCGTGTCACAGACAATAGGTTTTCATGCAATCATAATCGATTACAATAATGAGCAACACAACAGTGATCCTCATAGGGAGTGAAATTACCCGTTTTGGGTAATTTGGATGTGTCGAGGGAGGTACTGGAGGGTGTCAGGAATTCAGTACTTCATGCAGTTGTCAGTTATGATGGAACGCTATTGTGATGGTGTATTCTTCACTCGGATACCTGAATGCGGCTCGCTCATGAGAACACTTTTCTTTATCTTTTTTTTCTGAGCGTCTCTAGCTCAGGAGAAAATGAGTAATCCGTTTGGTCACAGTTTTTTTATAAAGAAATACTTCGGTGGTATCAGAACAGTTACTTTCTTATGACCAAGTGAGCATTTCGAATGAATTTCTGAACAGTAATGGAAGAATTATGCGAGAATCAACCAATGATGATCTAATAACTTCCCCAGTTCCCTATACCCTGCAATTTCTCCCAGGCGGCAATTTCCCAGTAATGAAACAATGTTCCATCCACATTCTTGCGTATTCACTGATTGTGAGTGAAAACTTCCAAACAGACTTCATTTCCAATCAGAAACCACCGAGACGATTCAATAAGAGATGAATCTCTCAAATCATAATTGCAACTTCCAGAAACTACGCCACCTGGTTCGCTCAAAGGCATATTCGCTTATGGTATTTAAGGCTGACGAAACGGTCAGTTTAGAAGTAGACGTCGCACCATTATGTACCATGGGTTCAATTTCACCGTCTTCTTCGCATGGCTCGTAAACATCAACTGAAATAATCTCAATAAGGGCAATTCATTCCCTACCAAAGAAGGCAATGAAACAAAAATGAGATCTTCTAATTATAACGCTCAAACTCAAATTGAATTAAATGATTCCTGATGAAGTTCCTGTCAACAGAATTGTTTACGATTAAAAGCGAATCACAAAACGATGACAAGAAATGCGTTCCGTATGCACATACTTTCGATGAACCTGCAGTTCCTCTTCAACGCACTCACATAACCGTCACTACTCGACGGTCCCTTGATTTGATCCTCGACCAGATAAGTATTATATGAAGCAGAGATGAAGTAATTGGTAAACGAATGATTCATCTCGTGACAGACACGTCGATGTGTAACGTCGAATAAACCGCATTCATCACATTGCAAATAGTTTGTGAAACCTTTGAAATGTTTTTGTAATTAAAGTTTTTCACTGACGAGTACTTTAGTGAAGTGATAAATTGCTTTTACAGAATGAGGTCCCCTCGTCTGGAACACTTTGGGAATTTCCTTCCGAATAACTGTGATATTACTAAATAAAGTTACTGAAAACTTACAAGTAATTGGAATCCCTACAGACAAAACGCTCAAAATAGATAATTGTCATGTGTGATCCATATCCATCATTTCCTCAGTTAAGGTGCGGTGTTTCCAATGGCGTTGCATTGATTGATCAAAAGAGGGTGGAATTGCAAAAAAAATACTCGCAAAGCTATCAAGAGATCATAAAGTGCGATTGTGATAATTATAAGTGAAGCCAACAAACGCACCATCCACAGTCATGTAGTTGTTTTCTTTGGCTTCAGGTGACGGCTCGTACTGCTCAATGATAGCTTCGCAAACATCTCTCGTTACGCCGATCATCTGAAATTCGGATTATTCCAAGTAAATGGCACTTTTTTTTAAATGTCACAAATTTTTTCTTTTCGAATCACTTTCATTGACACATATGCACACAATTAAATGCAGTAATTGAATGCACTTGCTGAAATTTTTGTTATTCGAAAGAAAAATGAACACTTACACCCTGTTCATTCTCAAGGAAGAGCTGCAAATCCTGACAACTGAGGTAGTCTTTATTTGCATAACGAACCATCAGGAAGTAGACCTCAGGCCGTGTCGAGACATCCTGCAAATCACCCATCACATTTTCTGTTTCGATCCAGCGTTCAATCTCGTTGAACAATCGTTTTCTCTGCGGAACAACTGACGCGACGCATATGTAACAAATCTAGGAAAATAGTGAACCTTATAAATTTCAACGAATTGATCTCTTGTTATTCGACCTCGATGATTTTCGTGAGGTTGAAGAACGATAACTTCCTGAAACCAACAATCAAGTTCCGAATTTCCACAACTGCATTTCATAATCAATACAGCTTATTGGTATCAATTGATAGACAAAACTGGGCGATTTTTCAAGATTTGATTTCTCAAGCATTTTGATTTTTCAATTCGATTTCGTTCTGATTTCTCAAGTTATCCAGAGTATTCATTTTGGTTGATACGTGAAACGTTAATGAATGCTGAAGCTATGATTTAAATGATCAACGAAATGGAGAAGAACCAACGTTGACGCGGTGTTTGATTCGATTTATTTGTAAACGGGGATTTATTTGCTTGATAAGGCGGACTGCAAAATTATCACTGATATAACCGTTCTTCTCGTTATCGTTCTCATCGAACACCGATTCCAACCACCTGAAATCATTCAGACGATCAAAAATCTATTCGTCTCGATCAACATTCCGATCATAAAATCAAGAGAAATCACTGATCACATCCAACAATTGACTGACCTTTCACGGAGGGTTGCGAAAGAAAGGGAACCTGACGGCTGGCAACCGGCTGAAATGAATACTTTTATAACCAGCATATTCCTCTGCCGAAACATCGACAATGTCTGTGTATGAATGAGTCTCATCGGCAATTCTTTGCATTCCTTATGCAATGTCCGTATTCAGCAGTCAATACTCGACACAAACTTGCTATTCTCGTATATCTCATGAATCAACCTAAGATTTCTCATGAAACATGAATATCTCATCGGTCGTCATAGCAATTTTAGTTCAGTAACTTGAACACTGCAAAATTTCCTCATCACATCATCACAGCACGTACATTTATGACCTGAAGTGAGAGCCATCAGCCCAGTCACCCAAATGTTCGCATCTTCAGGCGTTTGTGCGATTAAATCCAAACATTCGTAGTCATCACCGTGAATAATCGAAAACGCACATTCCTCCTGAATGTTATATGTTCAGTCAGCTCAAGAATGGTTGATAAGCAAAGATCTTATTTTTCGCATTTTTCGAATTATTTTCAGAGTTTCCAATCTTATTTTCGAATTATTTTCGGATTTTCCTCCATTTCGGTGAACCGTGAAATTATAACAACAGACGACCGTTTGCTTCAAAAACAGCGATCGCTGTGTCTTTACCTGCATATCGCTGATTGAATTTTCAGTTGCTCTGAACAGTTCTGTATTTCGACCAACTCGTACCTCACGAATCGCCTCGATTGCTACTGCAATGTTGCAAAATGAAATGCTTCTTTGAGACCAATTTGCGCAAAAACGAATCCTGCTCAATGTCCATATTCAAAAAACATCGCCACTTAATTAGGCCACTGTAGCAAGTGTAGAAACCCTGATTGTGACTTACTTCGTGCTTTATGAGGTTTTTTGTTGGTTGGAGTCCATCGTATGTAGGCCAGATCGGCATCCAGACTAAATTGTCTTCGAAACTGACGAACGTTTGCACGAAGCTTTATGAATTCGGTGCCGCGTTGCATAATTTGCAGACAGTCATTCACTGAAAACAAACGCAGCACTTGTTGCCTGATTGAAATTAATTCATTCGTGAAATTCCGAGCGATTCAGCGGGGAATTAATGCAGAGTTAATGAAATGTGAAAAGCGCGGAGGCAGTTACTTTATCGATGGCGCTCTTAACATCATCAATCGCACACAAACTCTCAATTTTTTTTTACGATACATCTCATCGGAAACGTCCCTTTTAGCTGATTGTGAGGAAATTCTGCGCTTCTCTCACAGAACTTCCGAATGGAGCGGGGAGAGATCATTGCAAAAGATACCGTTTGAAACTCGTTTCGATTGATTTTGAGTGCTGAAGCTAACGTTTTTACAGTTCGGTGAACGACTCCGTGTACCATGCTTGATCAACGAACTCCGCAGTGGAGATGAACTGCAATGTAATGCGCAATTAAGCACTCAGTTGTATTTGACATTCGATTCATTGTCAAACATCATAAAATGAAACTACGAAATGAAAGTATAACATTTCTATAAGAGGACATCAGTAAAACGCATTGTTCTATCCTAAACATGCACATTTCATGTTGCAATTGTATTCACAATGTTTGCCTTTTGCTATGAATTCCTTCCAATAGTTTCTTAACACTGCCATTAAGGCATCTGATCAGATAGGTTTTAGGAACTAACCTCATGATTTCGAACAATTAAAATTGATACTGAATGAATGGAAAGCACTAAAATATTCGCATCAGTTGAATGAGAAATCCAATAGTGTCGTTACTGAGTTATGCGCAGAGGAATTGATAAGTGAAATCGTGGAAATCATTGAGCTGGTTTGGCTAGATATTATAGAAGTTATGATTTTGAATAATATGAGATAGCCAGTGAATGGCGTGCATTCAACATAAGATTAACGCATACCGCAATAGGTGAACGCCTGCTTCTTGCATAATTCAATATTCGCCGAAGATCAAAGATCCTTCGCATTCAATCTCAACACAACAAAATCACTCGATTGCCAAAGATTATCATTTTTTTAAATCACATCAAAACTATTCACGGAATTGGTTGTTGATAACGTGTTCTAAATTTTAGATCTCACTCGATTCAAGGCACTTCGTGGCCAGTAAAACAAAGAGTTTCATCAAAAATCGTCATCAGACGCCCGAAAGGAGACGTTGAAAATGGCCCAAACAGAGATATATGATGAAAACTAGAGTTTGACGATCGTAAACAGATGAATCAAATAAAGTATGTCAACGAATGCTCAACATAAAATAATCTTCACATTATGTAGCAAGCAATATTGCGAATGTATGCTTATCTATGTTGAAATATCATGCGATTTTAAATGAAATGCATGAATGTTTACGAAAAAACTGCTCGAAAGCGAATGCGTGAAGTTACATATATGAAATTAGTTTCACAGTACGATGCCGAGCGAGTTTAATGGTGGATCTCAGCAGGCGATTATTTGCTTCAATCAGTCTGAATGCACTTAAGCACGTGACTAAAATCATTTATCGTGATGGAATATTCAACAATATTGACTCACCGTGGAAATGGAATATTCAACTTTCCGTTCAGTGTCGCGCCAGGCGTCGATGTTGTCGTAGTACAGTGCAGTTCAGTGACACCTTCTCGAATTTCATCCATTTTTATCAGTCATCAGTAAATAACAGAGAATGATTTTCACAATTCCACTGATTGAAATGAATTAAAGCATTTAGAAACATGCACAGATTCAACAGCAATAATAGCGTTTCAACCAGGAAATTACTCAGAAAACGCCTTTTCGCACTCTTTTTTTTTCAGTTGCAATAGCACACTTTATCAACCGCTTCCGCTAACCAAATTCACGTATTCGTTTCCTGAAAAGGTCAAATCCGTTTCCCTGAAGAAAATTATAACGTTTCTAATGAGGATCCAAAGGCATGAGCATTCGTGCTTTCATGCAGTATCATTAGTTACATCGAGTGGAAAATGCGCAATGGCGTTAGAAAGGAACTGATTACTTTGAATGATAGCAAGGAAACGCTTAATACACCCAATGACAAAGTGCATTTATCGAAGGCAATGAAAAGCATCATTCAATTGACGATAGTGAATGCGGCGGTTGATTTCTTGATGCAAAAAGGGAAAGTTGAAAGCATTCGCAAATGTGATGACACGATCAGTGTGTAAATATTCGATAAAGCACATAGATGTACATAAGCAAATTTCTCAGAAGAAGCCCGAGAAAGGAGAGCAGTATTTTATGGCGTGAAGATTTTATTCGTTCCGTGGTTAAGTTATATTGACACAATTGCGAATGATCAATTGATGGTGGTTCAAGCCAACGGAATGATAACGATAAACATACACATGATCGATTGCATCATGAAAAGATTGAATTGAATACGACTGAACAACGAATACGAATGTATTTGAAATAAAATATTCGTTCATTGCAAGAAGCGCTTTGATAATATGACGACGAATCGTCAGCTGTTAATCTTAGATGAATGCATATGGAAATATCCATCAGATGGATATATCATTCAAATACGCATCTCATTTTCCGCTCGAAGATGGCCATTCATAATCACTGATGCACTGACAACGTTCATACGAATACGCCGAAATGTTTGAATAATTAGAGCACTATCATACATCAAACAAAATATATTCTGCTTCCAACAATCCCATCCATATTGCTTTTAATCCATTCTTGCATAAAATATCCAAAATATACAACTATGTCACTCTTGGAACATACAATTATTTGTCAAAGCACGATTCCACATTGGTGAATGATTAAGGGAATCATAATAGCAATTCCCTGGCATAGATGACACATTGTCATCAAGAACGCATTTAATTTAGAGCAAGCTTTTGATTATTTCCGCGAACAGGAAATTAACGAGTTTGTGACTGTTCGAT